CCTCCTTTTTGGGTCTTAGTCCTCCTCCTTGGATATAGGTGTCCTCCTTTTTGGGTCTTAGTCCTCCTCCTTGGATATAGGTGTCCTCCTTTTTGGGTCTTAGTCCTCCTCCTTGGATATAGGTGTCCTCCTTTTTGGGTCTTAGTCCTCCTTCTTGTATATAGGTGTCCTCCTTTTTGGATCTTACCTCTTTCTCCTTGGACAGAGGCCGGTGGTCACCCTAAACCTAAGAGTCACAATTTTAGTGAAAACTCAGTTTTAATCCAGTTTTGCCTTTGTACGACTGGACAGAGGACTCCAGCACACCATACTCAGCCTCTTGAAACCGAGACATCAGTAGATGGATGTTCAACCTTTTATTCCACCTTGGATTCTCTTAATCCATGATTTCCATCTTTGTGTAAATTTGCTTCAAATACACCATGGCTGTATACGAAGGGTAATTGTGTTCCTTGTGTAATGCTTGCTGTCTCTCCCTCCCTTTGAAGGTCTGAAGTCCGAAGGCCTGTACAGAGTGTCAGGGTTCAGTGACTTAATCGAAGATGTTAAGCTGACCTTTGATAGAGGTACATTTGTCTGGTTTCGTCTTGTCCTCCTGCTCTGTTTTTGAAGGTTCATGACACCAGACGCCATTCTTTTAAGACGATGGCTATATGCAGTTTGCACATACAACACATTCACATATTCCTAATGGGGCATTTAATTTAAATGGGGAAACTGTAGCCACAGGCATTGCTAAAATGATTCTTAGAGTGGATCTATTACTCATGATAGCTCAGAGATGACATTTGGCACCATCTCCATGACACAGCACCATCTGTAGCTGCCTACAAGGAGCCTTTGTCAGTCATTGGGGTCTTACGAAAAAGGAGAGCCCCCCCCTTACAGTAAGTGGTATGTCCCTGCCCCCAGGCCTCCCTAGTGGCATGACATCCCACGCACAGCCTCGTGATGTCCGGGCCACACTATGCTCTAGGCTGATTCAACCCCCCCCCCCAATGACAACCAGAGGTGTATGTGACAAGGACAGTCTGAAGTACTGAGTCATTGGAGACCAGGCCCCCTTTCCACCAGCCACCATTAGCATCCGGCTCCGACACGGAGGCGCTCAGATTAGTTTCCACTTTGTCTCTCTTGGTAACGCTGGACCTTCCCTTTGCAGATGGAGAAAAGGCGGACATCTCTGTGAATGTTTATGAAGATATTAATATCATCACCGGTGCACTTAAACTGTACTTTAGGGATTTACCCATCCCCGTCATCACGTACGACGCTTACCCCAGATTCATCGAAGCTGCAAGTGAGTATTAAACACGAGCCTTTATCCCCCCGTGTGCGTGAAAGTAGGCCACGCGTAGGTGAAGTGAAGTGCTCAGCCAGTTACATGCCAGATTTTTTTGGGAAGGTTCAACATAAAATGATCACCGCGGTATATTTAGAAAGCAGTGCCCTCTGTTTCCGGGACGGTGAAGGCGACACTTTACCCGGGACACATCCTGCCTCCTGTGAAACGCAGTGGGCTGCACCGGTGAACTTTGATGCCGCCGTTTGCCACCAGACGTTGCGACGTTAAGCCTTCCACTCAAACTGCTGCCGTCCGATGGGACCTTCGACGAGCTGCTGCAGCTGCTTCTCTCAGCTTCTGAAATTCGCTTTTGCTCTAAGCTTGAAATTAGCAGAGGAAAGTATCGAATATGATACCTGAATGTATCGTGCTGACACATCGTTCATACATGACGGTGAAAAGACACATTACTCATAGGAAGGTGACAGTTTCCTGTATGAATGTGACCTTTACTTTTGTTTATATTCTGTCACATATAGAATGTTCTCCCATCCCGATGGTCCAACGTATTATATTTTCCGCTTTATGGTGTTGCGATAGCGATGCACCAGACATGGAACTTTGAATTTTGATCTGTTCCCGGGCTGGCGATATGCTGAACGATACCTTCTGCTGATGTCTGGCGTTGGCAGCATCCATCCAGACGCACGTTCAGTTTCTGTAGCAATCACCAGCGTAAACATTCGTTATTGTGTTTAACAATATACTGTACTGTTTATTTTTGTTTGTTTAACCAAATTAATTTGTATTATTTATTTACTTTTCAATTACTGGTATCTAGTTACAGTAGTTATTTACTTATTTATTGATCATATCATATTCATATTCATCTGTTCCACTTATGATAAGTTCATCTGAATGTAAGCCCATTGTAAGCTGAGGAGCATCTGTAGCCCTTTTTCTCCAGACAGTCATGGACATTTCAGCAATCCGATTAAGTGTCTGATAGGGTAGGCCTGAGATCTGGCTGTTGGTGACCTCGGCGTGTTGTTCCTGTGTGCCGTGTCATTTGCGTGTGCTGTGTCCCAGAGCTCACGGACCCGGATGAGCGGCTGGAGGCCCTGCACGAGGCGCTGAAGCTGCTACCGCCCGCTCACTGTGAAACGCTGAGGTATCTCATGGCCCACCTGAAGAGGTACAGCGAGCCTCACGTCTCAGTGACGTCACACGTGCTCGTCCTCCTCCTCTGGGGACCATAACCCTCACTCCACGCTCCCCCTTTCCCCCACACAGGGTGACGCAGTACGAGAAAGACAACCTGATGAATGCAGAGAACCTGGGAATCGTGTTCGGGCCCACGCTGATGCGAGCGCCCGACCTGGACGCCATGACGGCCCTGAACGACATCCGGTACCAGCGTCAGGTGGTGGAGTCGCTCATCAAAAATGAGGACATCTTGTTCTGAAAGGGGGGAATCGCTCCCCCAGTCCAGCTGGCTTCCTGCTGTCTCCCTAACCTTTTTTTATTTTTGTGCAAAGGCTTGAATATGAAGGATTTTTTTTTAATCATTCTACTTTCCCCTAACTCCCAGTGGACCAGTACTGTAAATACCTTCTGCTTCCCCTTTTGATGGGTGCGGATTATGTACCTTAAAGTTTAAGTTTGCATGTTTACCGCCCCATTTTTGTCGGGGGTTGTTAACAGAGACAGAGCGACAGGCCAGAGCGCGTTTCTTTTGGATAGTTTTTAGTTGTCCAGCATGTGTTTAGGTTTTTATCGTCGAACATCGTGACTCTGCTTTTCTGTCCTGTGGATGTAGCTCATTGTTGCTCAGTTGTTTTTGTGAAACACTATATACCTGTACGTGACATAGAATACATTTTTCTTTTTTTATGTACCTTCGTGAAGATTTGATCTTTTTTCCCGTTTTGTTTTTATACACAGTATGTATTTAGATAAATTTTAAATCTGCATTCTAATAATTTGTGATTTTTTTTTTCTCACCCTTAAATCTAATCTTCACAAATCTTTTGCGCTCAACTTTCAATAAGTGTCCGATTCATGTTTTGGTTGTAATATTTTTGTATTTTGATTTGCGCATGGGTATATTAATTTATTAAATCTTGCTTTCCAGGATTGGAATTTATGTGCTTTTTTAAACACCTTGAAGGACTGAAACAGAAGTGTCTCAGTAATTTGAGTAAGGTTTCTGATAGCTGTTGCGAAACTGTAATGTATAGTAAAGCTACATTGTGATATTTAGAGACAACTGTATTGCTTTGCTTGCACTGGAGATAAACTGTTTTCATGTGTGTTTGGGCCGATTCCTCAGTACATCTGCAGACTGAATAATTCCCTTTGAGATGAAGACCAAACCCCCAGCATCTTGCTTCCTACCCAGATGCTTGATTCTTGCGTAACTGACATCCGTCTCCGTCCTCCCGATGTGACATCCTTCCGGTGTTAGCAAAGCCTTCTATGTCACTCACAGGTTCTCGGATACTTCGCACGAATTCCTTACTGGTACGGCAGAGTGAGCCGTGACCAGCTGCAAGGGCCGCCTGTAGGAGACTGTCCTTGTATTCCTCTGAGTCTGTTCCCAGCTTCTGGTTTCTGGATGATCACCAACACAGCTTCCTTTTGAGATGCTCTGCTGGGGGAGAGCGAGCGAGAGAGGGGGGAGCAGAGCTATCTGGCAGTGGCAGCAGCTGGCTCTTCCCAATTCACTGTAAAATCTCATTAAGTTATCCAGCATTGTCTCATTGCTTACCGTGAAAACTCTGGCTTTTTGGTTTGTGCAAAGAGCGCGCTAAATCTCACAGAAGCTAACCTTTGCATGCTGAGAATGTGTTCTCACACAATTTAATAAACTTAACCCATGCTTCCCGATCTGTTGACATGAATGATTATAACAGTTACCCCCCCCCCCCCAAAGAAAAAATATATGAAATATATTTAGATAAATCCACCGGCTTTTTTGCTTATTTTTTAAAAAATATGTATACTGAAGAAGGTGATACTTTGGGGGGGGGGGAAAGGTTGAGTGTGCTTCCTAGCCCGGTCCTTGGGGTTCGATTTCAGAAACACTGCTATAAACCTACAATGGTTTGTTTACAAAATGATTTTAGCGGAACTATGGAGCCTTTGCATCAGAGTGTGGGATTCACGAAGTAGAACCTCCAGCCAGCTGATCTGGAAGAAGCAGCATAGAAAAAAGCAGCATCCTGACCAGATTGGCTTTCACTTCTTTTCCAACAGATGCTCGTCTTTTATTTTGTCTTCTGCATACTGATCTGTCGCATTTGATTCCATGATGCAACCATGGTGGAAACGGGTCGGAACCAGCCCCAGGTAACCCTGGTACCTTCACGCAGCTCTTCGCAGCGGCACCAGACTGAGGCTGTCACTGCTGCTGCTGCAAAAGGTGCCATGAGAAACGGTGTATGACAGGAAGCCAGTTAATCACAGTATGGTGATGTTTATTCAATTCATAACCAATGAATACAAATTTCATAAGAGAACTGACCTTTTGTTCCGGAAGCCTGTTGTTTGACCTATATTCCAAATGCAAAGCATGGAACGAACGGGGAACGTTGCATTTGTAGCTGTGCATTAAAGACATGCAGCATGTTTACTCAAGTGTAAATGGTCTAATTATTTTTAACCATCTCATCAAGTCAATAACCCAACAATTTGAAATCTTAGTAGTTAAATATGAAAAGAACAAAAGGAACTTCATATATATTAATATATTTGAATCTATATATATATATATATATACGCACACACATATAGAAGGTGGGAGAATACATAGTCACATGAAATGGAAAAAAACAAAATCATTAATATATTAACAGGCTGAGGTTTTTTTTTTTGTTATAAATGCTTAACGTGAAGTATTCATAAATCCCTAGCTTTCTGGGGGCGGGGGGGCAGGGAACTATGGGGCCTTTCATGGGTTCAGCCATTACACAGTAGCCACATCAATCATGTGGAGATTGCTGGTGAAAAGAAAGGCCGGTGACATTCCCACAGGACACACACACGGCTGACTCAGACCTGGCGATGAAATGCAGCGTTTCAGGGTTGTCGGGAAGGACCGGTGGCGTGCTTGTGGGAAGCGTCCCTGAAGATGGGGGTCTTCCTCAAGGTCACAAAGGCAGATTCTGGCAAATGAGTCATTCTCTGTGAATTAGGCATTTTCTGTCTGGGGGAGGCGTGAAAGTGGGGAGGATTCCGCAATCGCCAGAGCTGCCGTCTGCCTCTAAACCCTGATGGATGAGGCTGACGGGAGAATGACTGGTTGATTAAATGGGTGGTGACCATGAAGAAATTGAGTTGTCTTCTCTCATCATGGCCGCAGAATGGGGGGGTCAGATGTGACATGTCAAGCCATTTAGGAACAGCAATAAATACAATGGCGATGCGGGATGAGTGTGTATCTGGTGTGGGTGTAGCAGAAATTAAAAAAATATATATGTTTAAATTATAATGTAATGGCTCTGAGGGTGTGGGACAGCTCTGGAATCGGTACTTTACACCCAAGGGAAATTATGTTGGGTATAACACACACCCATCCAGATTGCGTTGCCATGGAGCCAAACTCCAGGTTCCTATCACTCCATGACATCTTTTTTTGCTCATAAATTAGGAAATTAACTGTAAACAGCTTGTGCCTCAGATAACTGCAATTTTAATGGCTCAGACTGCTGAACAGTATAGACACAGTGTCTGTCCAAATGACAGGCAAGATGCTGGAGACTCCTAGAAGCACAAAGAGAAATGTACCTTTCAGAAGAAACTAAGAAATAAACACGTTGCTGTATGTATGCTCACTGCTTAGCACTGTTACCACAAGGCTAGGAGTCTGAGCCCCAACTCTGCTCTTTGTGTCTGTGCAGTTTGCATGTTCACGCTCTCTCTGTCGTCTGGGTTTCCTTCTTCCGGTCTGAAGGCTAATTAATGTCTGTAAATTGCCCATCGAATGAGTGTGATCATATGACCCCTAATGGGCTGGTATCCCGGCCAGGGTGGGCCCAGCCCAACCACGAAATGCAATTAAAACAGGGGAAGGTGTTATGAGACAAACTGATGTATTTCTGAAAATTATTCAAGTTAGATCTAAATTCACAGTATAGTCAAGGTACCAATAAGAAGTTTGAAAAGCTTTAAATTTTAAAACTGTACCTGAAAATGACCGTGGACCACTATGTACTTATATTGCTCCCTTTTAAACACTGCTAAATATTCTGTTTTACTATGAGTGGTTGTCATATAACGTGCATGCAGTAAATTATATTTTCTTAGCTGTAAAATTCGCATGATTTTCTTTAGCTTCCATTTAAGATGCATATTGAACACACAACAGGTAGTATGCTGTTGCGGCACCTGGATTTCATGAGTGTTCCTGAGGACTCTGAATTCTATAATGCATTTCTCAGTTCTTTAATGCTTTTTCACGTTATGTATGTGCGTTTTGGTATACTATATACAATGTTCAGTGAAACTGTAGTTTATATGTGGTTGGAAGATTCTTAAATAAAGTTGATGGACGCACAATTTTTGTTGGCGGGGGACGCTGAAGGGGGGGTTGCCCAAGGCGCCATACAAGCTGCACCACCCCCCTCCCCGGGTAGTGGATATACCGTTACTACGGGCGAGTGGCCGTCAGTCGAAGATACGTATAAGTACCAATACTCGCTGATTTCGGTTGTTTGTGATCGCATAATATAGTTTTCCTAAAATCGAAATATATATCAGTCACAACCAATGACATTAAAATTACATGTGAATTACACCATGAAAAAATGAAAGTAAATTTATACATGTATACAACTTGTAAGGTTTAGTAAAAAATGTTCTAGACGGGGCTTGAACCTGCGACCTTCGGATCCATATTTTCTGTTAGAAACAGGCGAACTGTCATTTTCTATAACGTTTCACAGAAATGGCATTCTATCACATGTAATGCACAGCTCAACTAACAACACTCTTCTTTCTTTCTTATTTTTCTCCCCTCACACTCTTTTCCTTAGTTCTTTTGTCTTTCTCCCGTGTAACCCGTTCTTCCCCATATTTTCGCCTTCTCCACTTAAACGCTTTATCGTGCATTTTGAAAATACAACAAGCAGTAGGCTTGCTACGGCACCTGGATTTAATGTAACTGAATGTTCCTGAGGACTGCGATATCATTTCTTTAATACTTTTATTCTTTAATTTTCGTCTCAGTTTTTGTATATGTGTTTCGGCATTTATAGCGTCCCGTTAATCTGAAGTTTATTCAAACTAAAATATTTTATTTTGATATATGTCGTTGTGGGCGACCCTAACCGTTAGCCTCGTTAGCGCAGTAGGTAGCGCGTCAGTCTCATAATCTGAAGGTCGTGAGTTCGATCCTCACACGGGGCAGGCGAAATCAAAGCTTTTTGTTATCATGGACATAATACTGGTGGATGAAATGCTACTCAGTAAGTACAAATACCAGTGTGTAAAATATACTATGAAGTGCAGCAATTTTCAACCACTAATCGTTCTTTGTGGACAAAGCCAAAATAGATACATCAGTATCCCTCTACTACTGCATCAGTATTCCACTACTACAGTGTTATTGTCCATCTACTACAGCATCACTGTCCCTCTACTACAGCATCAGTATTCCTCTGCTTTAGCATCTTGAGGCTCAGCATGCAGACTAGAGGTGCAAGCTGCTAGTCTCTGTTGATCAATTGGGGGATTTATACTGAATGTGCTTATGCTGCTCGGGGCGGGGACTGAAGGTAGGATGATTCCAAGGGCCCTGAGTAGAAGGTGCCCTAAAGCATGGGCTGGGTTGAGGGCCCAGTGTGAAATGCTTTCATGGGGCCCAAAATCTCTGGCAGCACCTCTAGTGATGTGAGGTGCTTTCCTGGAACTGGAACAGGTCATTGCCTTGACGTTTGGCTATAATACATCCCATTCTGCCTAATCCTGGGCCTTCTGCTGTGGACAGGTTCTGGGGCAAGGAACCTCGTCTTTCTTGTGAGAGGTCCCCATTTTCCCTCCCTGCCTTTAAGACTGGCTGTGTAGTTGTGTGAGTGTGTTTGCTGTACTGGGAGTGACTGATATGAGGAAGGGTGATGTATGATGACCTTGTTCCTCTCATCTCCACCGGGGTGCTGGGCAGCTCCTGCAGAGTCAGGGATTCCACTATACTAACGAGAGGGACACCCCCTAAGCTCAGCCGCCCATTACTGTGACCGTGCTGGCGGGATGCGCTCATTGATCCTTGCGGAGCACTGTCACTGGGATTCGGCAGCGCCGTTGGGATTAGAGCAAGGGGAGGAGCTGGCCTTCCCACAAGGCTGAGTTCAGCAGTGGAGAACCTGGGGAGTTAAAGGGGAACCAGTAAAAGGCCGTGTCAGGTGTGTGCTGCAGTAATCTGCCACTTGCATTGGCAGCCAAACACCCCATATCTCAGGGCTCCATCATTTCTGATGTATGACGGGTTCCTTTTTTTTTTACATTTACATTTAATTGTATTCGGCAAACTTTTTTGTGGAAAGTGATGTACAAATGAGACACATTGCAAATGGCTGTTAAGTAGATGTCTAGTGCTGCATTCCATCTGAACCTGAAAGTCAGAAATTTCAACTGGAAAGTCCCCTGAAATTAGAATTCCTACTCAGAATGTCGGAGGAAACTCTGAGACCCTGACCTCAGAATTCAAGATGGCTGCACCCTTTGTCAACAGAAGTGAAAGTTGCAGTCATATACTGTTTATTAGCAGTTATGTTTTCTTTGTATTTCATTAAATCAGTGGAACATACAGTACTGTCCCACTGCTGTCTGTGGATGTGTTGCTATGGTGATTGTACGCACAAAATACCACGTAAAGTATTGTTATCAACTGATATTGCTAACAGGCTAGAACTGGGGCCTGTTTCACAAAGCAGGATTTCTTGCTTAGCCGGATAACTAGTCAGATTTAAGGTAGTCTGGCCTAAATGTAAGTGAATGAAGATAAAGAACATTTAAACTGGGGTACCTTAAATCTGACTAGTTGTCTGGCTAAGCATGAAATCCTGCTTTTTGAAACGGGTCCCTGGTATTGCTAAATGGCTTTCCGACTTGTTGTACTGGGACTCAGTTAACTGGGATGTGACATCATTCCCAGCTCTGACTTTACTCCTCCAAGGTAAATGGAATGCAGCATAAGGTAGACTGAGCTTCCAATGAATGTCCAGCTACAAGTGTAAGCAGTACTGGAGCAAGAGCTACACAACATCTACCAATCAAAGCAGGAACCTAATAAAACAAGTATTAAATGAGTGCAAAGTGCAAGATTCAGGAACCATACCTTGCCGTAGAGCGGGGTCGGACTAGCAGAAGTATCCCTGGAAATGATGGTCCTTGACACATTTCTTGAACAGAAGTTATTACCCTTTATTGCATGACTTTTTTTTAACATTCACATCCAAGTCATAATCTGTATCTGCAGATTTTCTTCAGTGAGGTGATTAATGTCCTGAGGCATAAGAGAGGAGAGGGCTAGGATGGGGGGGGCGAGGGTAGTGGGGCGGGACTGGGGGTGTCGCTAGATGCCCCCAGACATGGAGCAGAGAACCCTGGAACCATTTGCTTTGTGTAAGTATTGATCTAGACCCTTATAATTAAAATGTTAAAAGTGGGCCCGGGGCAGTGACATCGACTGCACTACAGCAGCCAATCATTGGGCTGCTGGTCTGATTTGAAAGCCGTAGGATTGGACAACGAGTGGAGAGTGATTTCAGCACACTTCAGTGCACATGGTGATTCACTGGGTACAGGATTTAAACAATACACACACACATCCAGAGGCTAAACCCAAGACCCTGCACTTGATGGATGCTCACCCCTGGTCTTGTGTGCTTTGACTCACTGTATTTTTCAACACCAGTTAAATGTTGTTTATAAATTGCTGAGTGCTGCATTATCTTTTATAATTCTTTCCTGTGACAATAGTAAAGATGCCATGAATATGTTTTGTTTATGGGCTAGTAGCTAGTTGTGTCTATTATAGGAGCTAAAACCCATGTTCACCTGGTGTATGTATTAGTTGCATATATCAGGTTTATTTGCATATTCCAAGTTTCCTATATTGTGGGACAATAAAGTGAACCTTGAATCTTTAAAATTTGATGTCATATATTTCTATGGTGATTGTGTCTGCCATAGATTTCTGCTCTGATGTGTGAGAAGATATTTACTCTGCCGGCATTTGTCCTTCAGCATGGATCTCATGCTCTCCACCCCCACTGTTGTGTCACTCATGGGGGGGGGGGGTTGGGGGCTGTCCACAATAGTGTCATCAACACTAGGTTCCTCTGGCTTCCAAATCCAAAACCCCCCACCCACTAGTGCATACACATCATCCACCTCCAGCTTTATTCACACGCAGTGGGAAAGGTGACTAAAGCAGTACAATAGAAATGATGGGTGTTTATCTGTATTGTTTTGTGTGTGTTTTATTGTTGGTAATACTTTACTGTAATACTGCAGATGCAAATTGAAACCAGTTATCCATCCATCCATCCATCCATCCATTTTCTGCAACCACTTGTCCTATTAAGGGTCATGGGGGGTCCAGAGCCTATCCCAGAGGCTACAAGCGCAAGGCAGGGAACAGCCCGGGAAGGGGCTGAAGCCAATCTTAATGTCAAAAAAATTGTAACCATACCAAACTTACTCATTACTGCCATCTACTGTTCTTTCAGTATATCATTCTACAACCGTCCTTAACAGTGTTAAAACATTAATTACATCAGCAATTTTGTGTTCCGTCATTTCACCATAATCTTTTTGATTTTTCACAACACAATATTGTGGGAAACTTCGGAGCTAGGGATTAAAAGAGAAAAAAAAAAAAGATTTTCACAATGAAGCAGCTGTACTTAAACAGCACAGTGGCTCTGGGCAGCACTGTCTCCACAAACCAGGGCAGGGTATTCAAATCCCACCACTACTTTGTGTTTGGAGAGTTTGCATTTTCTCTCCCTGTTGTCTAGGTTTCTTATCACAGTCCAACGACGTGCAGGTAGGTTGTCGCTAAATTGCTTCTGTATATCTGCCTTCCTTATGCCCTGTGCTGCCTGGAATGGACTCCAAGCCCCAACCTGTGATAAACAGGCGAAAGGTAAGTGGATAAACCCCATAACATCAAAATCAGAAATTTCTCATGAATATATGTGGATCGGAAACAAAATTATGAAAAAATTCTGTTGAATTATGAAATTACTGTTTTAGGCTGGGATTCCCCATTAATTTCTTATTTATACAACATGCTACTGCTGCGCAGGAAGCATTAAAGTGCTGTGTAACTCCTAAGCTCTTTACGGTAAAATTGAGTTTTTCTCCATAGTTCATTTTGTAATACTGTCAAGGAAAGTTTTTTTTAAAAAAGTACCTCACATGAACTCAGAAAGAATGTCTTTCATAATGTTAGAGTTAAATATATACAGGTCGTCTTATATTAACATACTGCGTATTAGATGTTTTGCAGATAAAATGTATTTGGCAAATGTTTATTTATACCACTGTTATATAGTAAGATATTAAATAATAATGAATAATAATTCATTAAAAAGAATGTGTTATATTGTAACTCTATGAAAGAGTGATGTGTGGAGGTGAGTTTTGCTGTGATCTGTAGGATGTAATGACTTATTCTCCATACCAGGACTGGTACTAGACTGACTCTCCTGGGTTTGGGGACTTTTTTATGATACTTTTTCATTCAGGAGAAAAGCAAAGTAGCGTATGTTTTATAATTTGCAGTATATATAGCATAGTATGACATACAATGACATAGAGTAATACAGGGCTGGGACTGACCATTACGCATACCAGGAATTCTCCTTGTGGACCAATGGGTGTTAGCCAGCAAAATTTACCATGGGGACCCCCCCCAGCAAAAAAATACCGTGACCCATGATGAACCCATAAGGCCATGGCCAATTTTTCGTCCTAATCTTGCCTTTATAGTATAGAATAGCATATTATAGCATAGCACAGCAGAGCAGAGCATGGCATAGTATATTATAGTATAGTATACAGCTTTATATGACCAAGCTGTCCTATCCCAAATTAAATACATACATGGAAATAAAAAGTTTTGGCTGAATACTTCTAGTAAGGCCACAGAGACACATGGGGTCACTGCCCCCCTCGGCTACCCCTGTCGACACGGCCATGACCTCTCCGTGTGCTCTGGGTCTTCACTGACACTGTCTGGCGACCCCGAAGGCAGCCCTTGAAAGGAAAACCGGAGGTGCAGGAGAAGTGCCAAAGCAGTTTTGCTCCCTTCATCCTTCCCTCCCCTATTTCTCATTGATGTTCCCCTTCCTGCTATTCTGTTCTGACTCAGCTGTGACTCGTCCCCTGTCCTTGTGACTCTCCTCTCTCCGGTCCAGCATCGGAAGTCAGTTGCCACGGTATTGGGTTAGACCTTGCAATGCTAAGTGTCCAGTATAATTTACAAGTTCAAGGAAATTGTATAGTATTAAACATGGTATTTGGCATGCTGATCGTATACCACTCTTAAAGGTTTAAAGTAACATTTTTGCATTTCCTTCCAAATGATAACCCCTGAATTAAAAGACAGATTATTGGCATACTGTAGCATTTTGTGAGGAGTGTTCTGTATGATAAATAACTTACAGATCTTTGGATTAATGGCAAATGTGAACAATATATGAACTTAATAACTAAGTCCTTTTAAAAGGAAAAAACAATGTGCATAGTTTTCGGTTTGTTTAGCCACGTGGGCGCTTCATTCGATTGATGGCATGATGCACACGCGCGTGTTAGAAGCACATCTGGAAACATTGCATCACTGCAAAAGTCCCGGATTTGGGGGAAGCAGAAGTTTCTCTGCACACAGCGACACTGAAGCTACATGCACGGTCTCTCGGAGTTAAATGCCTCCTCTTAGGTTTGTTTGACACAACAAAACTGCGAGTGATGTAGCAACGAGTGGAGATTAAAAAAAAAAAAAAAAACGAGGTCGCACAGGTTAGTAAAATGTTGCACTAATCTAACAGTTTGCAGGAAAAAAGGTTTGGGCGGAAATAAATATCAAAATTACGTTACGCGAAGGAGTGGTAGCATGCAAGACGCTAAGGAGAGTTTGTGGTCGAGTTGAAAAAAGTTGTCTGACGATTGAAATTCACCTTTTATGCTGGTTTCTGGCGGCTTTTGTTTTCGAAATGCTATTGTTGTATAGCAAATAACCAAAAAAGTGTGATCTCATTCTGCTTATCGAAGGACATCAGCTTGTATAAAGAGATCGCAAGTTATCGAAGTCAATAAACGACGAGCACGTAAACTGAAAAGAGTTAAATGTGCGTTAGTTATGATTTCTATATGCACAAACTTGGTGTTCATGGTTTGTAAACTGTCTTGATAAAGTCGCCTGATTTAAAGCGTTTGTTTTATTACCATTGGTGCGCATATTTCAAATAAATAACACGCCTTTTACTGCGGCTCACTTTCAGGATCACAAGGCAAGTATTAACACCTCGACGCACAGATTATCAGTTTATCCGAAGACTTGAGAACTTTATCAGTGTTCCTTCATGATGGCGTTAAATAACTTTGCGGGTTGGGGGAAGTTACGTTTCGTCTTCACGATGGACATTATGGTCCAAAAAGTCCTGTAGGACGTGTCTGCTGCTGATGTTTGCTCCACGTCAGTGTTGATTACATTATTATTATTATTTCTTTCAATTTCGCGCCGTGATCCCAGCATTTTGAGGGTGTTTGCGGCATTTCCGAAAGCCATGGTGGTGTATAACTGCGTGTCTGTTCGGCTGGGAGTTGATCGTTACTTACTGTTAGCTGACGGACGCATATACATAGAGTCGGATTTATTCGCTGGGTCATTTCCCAGTATTGTTGCATTCTCGGTGCTACTGAAATGTAACTCTTCTTTTTGACACTACTAGCGTCTTTCTGGTCTTTCTCCTACTTGGACGTGTCTCCTGTTTACACAATAGATCATCAGTGAGGTTTACTATCTGCATTGGCTCAAGGTCCGTGTGTTACATGAACCTGTCAAAGTTACAACGTGCCGCTCGAAAAAGACTTTTGTTACGTGGACTCTGCTCTGCGTTTTGACCATTTATCTTTTACGTGTAAGACAATTAAAAGGGACAATAGCTACTGTACTTAACAAAGCAGATAAGAAGCTTGTCCATAGCTGTAACTTGTAAGTGTAACATAATACACTGGAATTTAAATCCTCAAGATAAAATGAATCATACTGAAATTATTAAAACTGGATACATGACTTGGGACTTATATATTCGTTATTTGCATATACGTTATATAAATCACAGAGATATAGGGAATGCGTATCAGTCAAAAGTCGTTTCATCTTACGTCGTTTGACAATTATCAATAACTAATGAGGTCAGATAAGCTAGACTTCTAATTGTGAAATGAGTCAAACGGTACTACATAACTTAATTCATGGTTCCTCATTTAACCCCGCGTAATGCTTACTTCGTTTCTTAAAATGAACTAGCTGTAGTCTTTTTCATTGTACAGTGTCAGCAGTTCTGGACGGTGTGGTAAAACGCTGGGTGGAGAATCGACGATACTTTTTACTTTCCTGTAATAACAGGGGGGTCCCACGAAACTGAGGTTTATGAGGTAGAAACGGGGTGGGAATCTGCTTTAGTGTCAATATTATAATGTGGAAATGGAGTATTTTTAAAATGCCTAGTGTGTTTTCTTTGTGGCTCCCGGGCCAATGCTGATATTAAAATCCGCAAAAATATAGATGAGTTGCAGATGTTCCAGAGCTCCAAATAAAATTGTCTGTAGGTGATGACTTGGGAGGTTGATGGGTTTTTGTGCATAAGGTTCATGTAGCAGAATGGCTTTTGTAATGAGATGAAAGATTGCCCTTGCATTAGCAGTGAGCCCAGAGAATTTAAGAGTTTTTGTAAAGAACAGGATTTTTCTCCCCATTTCTGTCGCATTGTGGTTATTACCCCCTCCCAGAATGCTGTAAAACAGGTATAGCAATGAGTGACTGTGGGTACCCTTCCACATTCCATCATGGCGCCCCTTCCGTTCACAGGCTACAGTGAATCGCCTCTTTACCTTGTATGGTGCTGTTCTTTTGGCTCCTGCTGGTCCATCGCCACGGCCCTCGTCTGGTCTGGGCAGGCATCCTGGCCAGACAGCTGCCAGCGGGCACGTAAATCTGACCCGCAAGTCGGGTCTGCTAGAGGCCGCACAGTCGTAGGTGTGGATCTGACGCGGCGTGGACGAAGGACAGTCACATAGCCAGGCTGAGCAAAATGGCCCTGATGATGACCAGTGATGCATTCTGGGAGCTGGTCTGGGTGTCATGGGAGTTCATTGACATGGGAGTGACCACAAAAGACCTTTCATCTGAATTTTGTGAAACGTGAATCGATGATGTGTAGCCGGCCCTGTAAGCATCGCTGTCATGCGTGAGTCAGTGCAGAAGTACGGCAGAAGGCCTCTGTCTGTTACTAACCTGCTATGAGCTGCTTACTCTGGTGTCTCACTGGTGAGGAGTAAGATAGTAAATATCCACTATCTGAGTTCTGTGATAGAAGCATTTAAGTCTTATTCTGCTGTGGGGGATAATGGAGAGAGTCTGGCTGGACATATTTTTAGCATGATCTGTTCCTGATAGGTTCCTTTTGTTGTGAGAAATTTGGACTCGGCATTCGGCAGAACTTGTTTTCTCCCTCTGAAAAACGATTCTCTGTGCTGCGCATTTTTGTGAAAAACATGATGCAGGGAGCATGACTCTGCTCATGTGTGTTTTTTTTTTTTTTTTTTTTTTTTAAACCTAGCAGCACAGTGCAGTTAACGTTATGGAGAACTGGTGGGGAACTCTGATAGGCTCACTGTGCCGTGGGGAGGAAATGTGTGGGGCAGCAATGCAGAACACAGGAAGTGTCTACTTTGTGGAGGGGGGGGGGAGGGTACTGGCAGGAGTAACTGACAGGACGAGGTAAGACCTTCTGAATGCATCTTTCCTTATCCTTAGACTGGGGCATGAAGGGAGGGGTAACTTGTGGCATTAACGATTTTGTGAACGATATCACGTTTCGTTAGGAGTTTGTTAGATTGTGTGCGTTTCTCTGCATGTATCCGTGTGAGTGGCTGATCCGTTATCTAATGCTTCTTATCTCCGTGGCAATTAGACTATGGTGACATGAGGAACTGAAGTGTGTCTAAATGTGGAACTGTGACTTCTGCAAAGTTCTGGTCGGCTTAAAAGGGAATTATGAAGGCATCCTCATACCTTGGTGACCAACTTGACTGTTAATCATTGCTTATTTCATCCGTCTTTTTTTCCTAGTTTTTCTTCCTCAAACGCAAGAATGTAAAAATAATTTAGGCATCAAACAACCCTTGAGCTTGCAGTAAGGTAATATCTTGCCAGGGTGGCAATGACTGAAATATTCTCTGGGTGTTGATGATGGCACGTGCTTTGTTGTGTTTACAATATTTCTGTACCTCATTATGGCTCTCAGGAATCAGCACTTGATCGTTCACCTAAAATCGTTTATCCTGTAGAGGCTCTGAATTGTTTTGTTTGATTTGTCTATAGCCGTCGTTGGATGGAGTGTTGTCCCCGTAAACTGCTTGATGTACCTGGAGAGATGTTTGGCTGTGTGGTAGCCTGACCCTCCATGCCAGGCAGCTGCCGAATTTGCTCTTGACGTTGAGGCGAAATCGTTTTATTGCTGTCCCCGCTTATAATTTACACTGGAATGTAAATATTGTTCGATAACATACAGGGAAGGAATCAAACCTTTATGGTTCACAGGGTGTTGTGCCTCAGAGATGTGCTTTCAGGTCCATCCGCATGCCTGCTGGGGGGGGGGAGCCTTGTCAGCAAAAGCTGAAACCCTTTGTCTGTCGCTATTGTGAGGGGAAAAACGTCGATATTCACGCCCAAAACCATCCCCAGGAAGTGTGAGTAGTACTTGTTTCACCCAGATAGATCACCGTTTGAGATGAGTCATGAATTAAGGTGAATGATCTGTAACCACGTTACAAGCGGCGTAGCTAGAAATTCTACATCCTCTGACAAAATGTCACCTTGGGCCCCTCTGCCAAACTTTACATATAATGTTACATAAGGGATCCTGTAAAGTGCTGGGCCCCCTGAATCTGCCAGGGAACCCACGTCCCGTAACACGCCCTTTGTGTGTTACGGGGTGTAGTGATTTTAAAGAGGTATCAAGGTGTCGTCTTAGAGGGAGAACCCTTAGGCTATGTGTGACTGTTGAAATCCAAGTTAATTTATCAAATACACAACAGTATGGCAAACAGTAATAGATGGAGGCAATGATGTGAATTTCCCTGAGGCTCCCAATATATAGTGAGTAACAGAAAGGTGTAAAGAAAATTAGTGAAATGTTGATGCTGGTGACACCACAGAGATTGGGTGACTTAATCTGCGGCATCGCTTAGTGACGTCTATCACGACGCTGTCCCTGTCATGGCCTGCCCTCTGCCATCAGGGGTGATGGTTTGGTGTTGAAGCAGAGCATCACTTTTTAGCAGAGTGTTGTTTCTTTGTTGTTTTATGTGCCTTTCGTATAAAAATGTGATTTCTGATGACGGTGACTATATGGGCTTATTTGAGGGGGCTGGATGTTGAATGGGGAGAGAAAAAGCAAGTGACTGGTATGACACCTTCAGAGCACAGACACACACACACACACACACAACACGCACACATGCGCATGCACACACACATTCTTGCACCTACTTGCTCTGCCTCTCCATCATGTTCAGGATCACTAAGCTCATACAGGATGTTATCTAACCCACTCAGCCGGGTCTGGATGACCAGCACTTGCGGCAAACAGCTCTGGCCACATCCCCGCCCTGAGACTTCTGCAGAAATAGTTTTGGTCCAGTTTTAAAAACTCCCTTGGTGGCCTGCACTGTTCACTCTGTCCATGTTGGGCTCTTTTTTATGCCTCTGTATGCGAAACAGGCTACTTTTGCTTGCACAGACATGGGATATGGCTTGTGCAATGTTACACAGAGTTCAGAGTTGACGACCCTGTAAAATATAACTTTATCCTCTGTGCTCTGATACTAACAATAAAACACAGCACTGTTTTTCACGCATGTTCAAGCAAATTGTCTAATATTTAGAGTTTGGACTAATGGATGATATTTATGTGGCGGGAAGGTGCTGGCTGTAGTGGGTTTAGTCACTGCTGTCTGCTGTCAGGTTGGGGAATGAGGCCCATAGATGTGTAAATGGAATTTGATCTATGCTAACGCAGGAAATCAAAAACAAAAAAAATCTAAATGGGCGTTTGAATGGTGCGTCAGATGTTTGATTTTCAACGAGGAGGAAGTTGAGGTGATTCTGAGGGGAAGTTGCGGAGGGAATAGCTTAGATGGGCAGAGTTCTCTCAGGAAAGGATGTGCAGGGGTGCTGTTTACCACCACAAACTTCCCATTCGCGTGGGCCCCCCAATGCTTGGGTCCCTTTGGCTAAAAACAGTCACTACGCTAAATATTGCTTATGTCGGAGATTCCGAAGCAGCATATTCTGCTAACAGCTAGCTAGGCATTATCTTCTAACTCTGTCAGCTAGCTATCATTTGGTTTTTAAAACATCTTGTGTGGGGGGGGGGTCTTTTTGACTGGGGTACCAGAAAGAACAAACCTACTGCTATAACCAATGTTTTAATTTCCCAATCAATAGGCATCGAATATGGCCGTATACTGAGTGGGGTCATGTGTTTAGCTTGTCATATCGAGCTGAAAAAAGGCATCTTATTTGAAGCAATATGGAAATTAAATAATTGAGGACAAGGTCTAATAAATGGCCATTTATGCAGAACGGGGTAAATTATGTGGGACTGATTTATCCTCCTGGTTTGTTTTAATTTTGTTGCTGTTTGTAGGAAGTTCAAATTTCCTACAAATAACGGGGCTGAAAACTTCAAGCACCATCGCGGCAGCCCTCTCCATCTTCATCTTCTCCACGCCCCCCCTGTCCCTCACGTTCCCTAACGCGCATGGCCGTAAGGCATCATCTGAGTCCTGGCTCACGGTCTCCTCATTAAAAAATAACTTCCTTGCCGCTTGTCCGATTCTGACTGTGCACGGTCCTGCAGCTACCAGAGGGCATTCCTCTGTATGACTACGCTTTAGAAAAGTGCTCGTGAGACTCGTGAGACTCGTGTCTCCCGTAGCGTGATGCCCTGGCCTGTGGGTTCCCCGCTGCAGCCGTGGGAAGGGGCGGCGCACCCCCCCCCCCCCCTCGTGAATGCAAGGCTGCCACCTGGCGCATGCTAAACATTGCACTGTGGTGCAGTAAGCAGGCTGCAGCTGCGTCGATGATTTTTTTCACACTCGAAGGCGCAAACCTGTGTCTCTCGCATTGTTGACCTCGTAAGCGAAGTAGCATTTGCATACGGGAATCTTTCTGTAAGTAGAATAGATTTGAGTTTTCACCCCCAGTGACCCTGGGCCCCTCCGCTGGGAGTTGCCGTTTGGGGCGGAGTTGCTCTACTGGACCGTTTTCTTTTTTTGACCGATTCTGTGAACCACCATCGCTATTCAAGCTGAAAATAAACTCAGCTGGCTTTTTCTTTTCTTTCTGCTGTGTTAATTTTCAGGCTTGTGGGACTCCTAGTGCAAGATATCAAAATGCATTGCCGTTGTATAATTTTGAAAACTGTTTGACCACCCGATAGATTGTTAATCAAATAGACATTTAAAGGTCTCCTTCTAGGTCAGTCTCCTTTGGATAGATTGTGTTCTGTGTGGTAAAAATGGCGTGTGAGTTGTGTATGTGTGTGTCTGCGCATGCTGGGTGTGCGTGGGAACGACTTTTGCAGAAATGCCCAAAAAGCAGGCATTGAGGAGAAAGATAAAACACACACACGCACACACACACACACACGCACAAAAAGCCCCAATGCCTTTTGGTTCCTGTCATCTTTAATCTCTTGGGTTTTGTTGGGGTGGTGATAGGAATATTTCTACTTCACACTGTCGGTGGAAAGTCCCTGCAGCGATCCATGTGCGTGTGTTTATGTGTGATGAGGTATTCAGGATGCCAGACATGTTATGTTGATAATAAGCTGCTAGACTCAAACTGATCTGCTCCTCATCTTAACTGTGTGTCTTCAACATGGTTGCCAAGTGCTGGACACTTTGCACAGGGAAGGCTTTTTTTTTTTTTTTTTTTAGAATGTAAACATAACAACACACTGCACACGACACTGCGGCAGTGTCCACACGCCTATCCTACGATACGCAATCGAAGATCCTCAGACACTCATCTCCTCAAGCAGAACCAGAATCTTCAATGTGTGCTTTGTGCCGCTGCGTCCCAAAGGGGTTTCGCACCGGTCTGGCGCTGCCCGGAATCTGTCCAGTAGAGGGCAGTCTCGAGCGAAGCAGAAGGCTGCCGCCAGACCGCCGCAGTGTCGCCAAGCCGCCTTGCTGAAAGGGTCCATTGTCAGTTTAGAGGAGATCGCTGCAGGCGCATGTACCATCGATGGACATCAGCTGCATGATGGTGTGTGTGTGTGTGTGTGTGTGGGGGGGGGGTCCAAAGGCTGCCCTCTGACGCCAGGGATAGCAGAGATGGCCCGCTATTCATCGCTGAGTCAGATTGCGTGCTCAGGTTACTGACTGGACCCTTGTGTGTATCTGGCTGGTGATATGTTTGCGTGGAGTATTGTTCATTGTGCTTCATCTCTACACGCACTGCAAACTAGCTAATGCTGCTTGGCTGTGTTTTCCCGGCTTGTATAAGAAGCATGGAGGGGTGGGGGTAACGCGTAAGGTAGCATCTCCCTGTTTGTGGTGCGTGGCTGGCAGGATGTGGGCGTTTACAGCTGCTCAGGGTTCAAAGACCAGGGATCAACCTGCACATGTGGCACGGGGCAGTTGGGGGGGATAGATGGTGAAGTACAATCTATCCAGGGGTGTTCCACAAAGCAGGATTTCTCAGATGGGTTAACTTAAGCCAGAAGTCATGATCGTCCAATAAGAGTTCAGGTAATGAGCGTTCCTATTGGACAGTCATGACTTCTAGCTTAAGTTAACCCAGTTGTGTGTCCATATTCTGGGTGCTGACATAGGATTTGTTTTTCGTTCTAGTTATTAATATTTATGAAGGAGAGGGATTAGTCCTTTTCCTAAACAACAGTTAAAAAAAATGGGATTAACATGCCAAGAGATCACATGAATACAGCACAAACATTAGACAAAGTTCATGGTGATTGTCGGATATTTATAGGTTGCAGTTGGTGGATGAATAGATGATTGGGGGGGGGTAGCATGATGTGTCTGCCGGAAGAAGTATGACTTTGCTGGGGTGGGGGGTTGGGGTGGTGTGGCACAGTGAGCAGGGGGGCCGGCAGCTGCACGTTTTGTTAGAGCTTCCTGTTGACTGCTTAGCCAGGATGGAGGCGCCTTTAGGTGTGATTTGTTTATGTGACTGACAGCTTTGATGTACAGCTGCAGTGCGGCGTGACCTGGGTCCCAGTGAAACCAGCGAAAAACCACATCAGAACCATACATGTGTGACCACCGGGTTCACAGAAAAACATTACAGCCTTTTCTATCAGCAGGTGGAGAAATTCCACCTTTGCGTGAATCCCTGTTGTATGGCTCCTGTTAATATTTCGTCAGAAAAATGCCTGGTCACTTTTATTCATTTATACTTTTATTCATTTATAGTGAATAAAGGGTCAGGTCAAGTCAAACTTCATTGCTGTTTCAAAATATGCAGCCATGCAATCAAATGAAATTGCGTTTGTCCGAGACTTTAGAAATTCTTTTACGCAGAACATGGAAATGAGACACACAAGACAAGAATGAAAACATAAATAAATCTGCTGTACATAGTGTAACTCTTTATAAAGGCTGTCATTTACAATATGCAATAGTGGCTGTGATTTCTGGTTTGTATGTAGTGCCGAAATGGTGAGAATCTGTGACACGAATATCATATGTGTGAATTTTGTGTGTATGCATATGACCATGTACTTAAATAGCTGTCCGTTCTGCCTGTTAAGTGACAGCAGGACTTCTGATTGGTGAAGATGCCCGTCCCGCCGCCCCCGCCCCCACCTGCCCCGCCCCCTACATTTGCTGCGGTAAGTGTCTCATTTCAGTGCCAAACTGGCTGTTTAACACCTACAGTTATGGTTTTGTTAGGGCGCCACCCGTTGAAAATAATTTCATTTTTGCACGTTTTTTTTTCAATGTAATCATAATACTTTTGATTTAAATACCCTTGTTGGAGAACATGTTGTAGATAAATGAGACCATTGTAAATGCTGTATTAATGTTGAACTTGACTGTTAGTGCAGAACAGTCAATGACCTGTCTAACTTCTTTCCTCCAGTGCTTCTCAAAGGTGCCACCTGGTGGACAGTGCCTGCGTTCGCCTTCCCTCGTAAAATGCACTCATGCTTATGGGCCTTCTTCCCGGTCTTAGGCGAACACAGAAAAACCGACACTCAACAGATCAGAGCAGCAAGGGAGGAACGCGCTCCTGACTGACATCACGAAAGGCACGCGGCTGAAGAAGGCCGTCACCAATGACCGAAGCGGCCCCGTCTTTGACAGTAAGGGACCGTGAGCCTCATCTCGGGAGGACCAGTCAGGCTGTGTCAACGCCTGCTGTCAGGCACCATATTTTTCCTTTTCTAAGTAACGTTTTAATGTGAATGACTCCTGAAATGGTCATAGAGAAATTTCCTTTCGTATCAGTAAAGTATCCATCTATCAACCAATCCATCCGTATAGGGGAGAAAGTTTGTTGTTTAAATGAAGAAATCAAGCACAATGCCACTGCTTATCTGAGCCCCCATCACTGCCTTGGGCTGATACTCTGGTGTCATGTGACCTTGACTGGGTCAGCTGACATAAACCAGCCTGCAGTGTTCTGATTTGCCATTTGTTCCCTGGCCCCCTGTGGATGGCTATGAAGGCAGTATTTATAAGGCTGCGTATTGCTAAGCATGTCTGCAGGAAAACGGGATGCGTGGCTGATTGTTAAAGGGACTAGCAAGTGGCATCTTCTTCATTTTGGCAGAGCCCAAGGGTGGAGGAGGAGGAGGAGGTGGAGGAGGAGGTGGTGGCGGCATGGGAGGAGGAGGTGGAGCAGGATTTGGAGGAGGCACTGCCGGGGGCCTGGGTGGGCTCTTCCAGGGAGGGATGCCAAAGCTCCGTTCAGCAGGGAACAGAGACAGCAGCGGTAGGTCTGTCCAAGGTGGCTCTTCTTGTCATGTGTGTCATTAATTAATGTCATAATGTACATTTTTAACATGGTCTCTAGCATGGTCTTTATAATGGTCAAAATCAATGCATTTTTCAAATAACTGAAAGGCAAAACTCCAGTTTGCATATAGCACAAATTTCCTGCAATATGAATGAAGTTTGACCCTTTTATTTCGATTAATTTGACTCTGATAATTACACATTACATTCCGAAGAGTTCTGCTCATGCTGTCTCCTGTTGCCTTTAGATTCTGGAGGAAATAGACCCCCTATACCGCTCCCTGGAGGAAGGCCCTTGGCAGCCGGACCCCCCAGGCTTCCCGAAACGCCCCCCATCCCTCGGTCAAGCGCCCCTGACCTACCAAAGGCTCGGATGACGTCTCCCCGGCCTGACTTTGGGGGCGCGCCACCCCCTGTACCAAATACTCCTCGGCCAAACCAGGGAGGCTTGCAAACCCGAGGCCCCCCACCCCTACCTGGCGGGCGGCCTCCGGCTGCTGGACCGGCCCCCCCACCCCTGGTCCCACCTGGCAGGCATGGTGGTGCCCCCCCTCTGCCCGGAGGAGGAGGCCCGTTTAACCGCCAGCCCTCCTTCTCCGGGCCTCCGCCCTCCAACAACAGCCGGCCTCCCCTTCCCCCTACTCCCATTAAAGCCCCCGACGACCGCCCCCCCATCCCACCCATGGGTCACCGGCCCTCCATCCCTCGCGACGGACCCCCGCTACCACCGTCTCTCAGCAGCAAGCCTGCGGGACTCACACCAGCCCGTGCGACCAGCACCAACGCCCCGCCTCTGCCCCCTGGCCGCCCCGGCCCCCCCCCACTGCCTGCCACCCCGGCGAGTAATGAACACACTCCCAAGCTCCCCCAGAGGAGGTTATCCCTAAACACGCCTGCTCCAGTGCCCCCTCCAGGCCGTAGCGGCCCCCTGCCAACTCCTCCTAATGACAGAGCCCCTCCTCTGGCCCGGTCCGGTCCCTTACCTCCCCCTCCCAATGAAAGGCCCCCACCTCCAGGCAGGAACCCACCTGGCCGAACTGGTAAGAACTGCGAGTAGGACTCATTGCTACCTTTAACAAACAGCTGCTAATGGTGATGCTAAATTTTAGCGTGTTTACAGCGATCTTGCCCAACAGAGTCATGTGACTTAAAGCTACCTATCAGAAACATTAAGTGCTTCCTGTGACAGTTTCCTCACTCACTAATACAAGTCCTTCTTGTTTAACCTACTCACCCCAAAAGCTTTTATCATTCACACAGCTTATCTGTCATGATCTTCTCTGAGATTAAAATTGAAAATACCCCCCCACAACTAAAAATATATGTGTTATTTTTAAGTGTTTGGAAGGAGTGTTTCTTCACATTAGTGTGTTTTGTCTCTGATAATGATATGCGGGGCACCACTAGATATTTTGGGCCCCATGAAAGCATATTGAGCCCCCAACCCAAACCAATACAGTTACGTTCCAGTTTTTCGGTGCCCCTGTCACTCCTCCTGACGTTGCCCCCTTTATGGTGCCCCTGATTCTGACTATGGCACAGTCATAATGGCGCATTAAGCTGCTGTATTGTCATGCCCCTGCGTGCAGGTCATGTTGACCATCTCCTGTGTTCCCAGGCCCCCTTCCGCCGCCCCCACCTGTGGGAAGATCAGTCGGCAGTGTGAGGGGCTCTCCGGTTCCCCCCCCACCGAACAGACCGGGGACGGAACCAATCCGAAGAGGGTCCAGACCCCCTCTTCCACCAGACAGGACAGGTGCTGGGGGTCCCCCACTTCCACCGCCCCCCATGGGGAACGGGTACCACGACTCGTACCCCCCCTTCACAGGTGTGTGTGGGGCTGACTCCAGATCAGCCGTCCAGTAGCATTGGTTTATGCTAACCCCAAGCTCTAGCGAAAATGTTAAATTCAATAATGTACACCTTCCTGGAAAGAAGAGAATACCACAACACCAAAAGAGTTCTATTACTAAAACCACCACTAGGGGGTGACATGAGTCAGAAAACAAACTGTTACATGTTATATTGTGATTTAAATTTTTGTCAAATGCAGATGAGTGGGAGGCCAGGTTTTCCTTCCACCCGGTGTCCGATTTGCCCCCGCCGGAGCTGTACGTACCCTCCCTGAAGACCTACCCCAGCAAGGTTGCCAGGGGTGAGAGCAGAGGTGAGAAGATGGCCGATATATCCGTGTTTGGGTCTGCAGTGACTGCAGTGTAAACTGACTGTGACTGACTGACTGCCTCCTCTCCTAGGCTCAGGGAGGAGGGATAGGGGTGCACCTCCTCTGCCCCCGATTCCCAGGTGAGCTGCACTTATATCTCTTGGTTGTTTTTTGGACCTGGCTTCCACAACTGCTCCATCCTGGACCTACGCTTGCAAGGGACTCTGTCGTCCTCTGCTTTTACAGCACTCAACCTTAAGATCAATCCTGCTGTATGCCTCTGGGTGGATTGTTTTGTATATGGCTGTTAAAAATGTGTGTATAAATTCTGTTATGCTCAGCCCCACTAAACACCCCCCCCCCCCCCCTCCCCCCCAGCTGACGATATCACACTCCGAACAATTGACGTTGAACTCTTTCTTTCCCAGGATTGTTTTTTTTATGTTGACGTTCTCTTGACGTTTTGTATAAAACATGATAGAATCCGAAGGACGATTATTGATATTCCTGATTTCATTAAAGTGTCTCATGCACTGCCAGATGTTTGGTGTCTCCATAATGGCCTCTGTTTTTTGGTTTGTCTTCAAGTTGGGTTTGAATTGGGGTCCAATCCTAGTGCCATTTTTAAACATGAACATTGAAGGTTTTATTAACTTTTATACCTGGAGTCTTATTTTTATTATGAAAATTCATCTCCCTGGTGGAGAAATATCGAAATACTCAAATTATATTTGTCTTTATATAAACTTTATCACCAAGAGACAAAAAGTGGATTATATTTCATATTTTTAAAAAACTGGTCAAAATATTTTTCATTGAAGAGTATCACCTTGGGAAAAGTCACAGCTTGATTACAAGCTTTTTATTACTGTCTTAGTGTATTCTAATTTTGGTCTGATATCAGTGTTACGCTATATTTATGTGTGCTACAGTCATTTAAAGTACAGATGCACAAGGTCTTATTACACGATCCCCGGACTGTCTGTCTTGAGGTTCATGTGCTATTGGAAATTAATGACAAAGATGATAGGTGGTCTGGTAGGCTTACTTTAAAGTGTGTGTGCATGTTTTCTCCCCCAAATGCGTTATGTGTTATTGTCATTTATTTAACCATTAAATAATGTTTTGGAAGAACGTCTCGGCCTCTATAGTTCTTTATGCATTCTGCCTAACTGTTCCCTTCGTTGTCCATTCTGTTAATTATAGTACACAGGTCTCACAATTACAATGCACATGGTTGAAGTCAGGGCCGGCCCGTGGCATAGGCAATATAGGCAAATGCTAAGGGCGCCATCCATCCAGGGGGCGCCACAAATGGAGGAAGAAAAAAAGTGTAACATTCCATTATTCTTAAAACTAGTTGGTATTAATGTGTCTTAATATGAAAAGAACAAGCCCACATGAATTTACCTGCTTAGCAAAGCCTATTAAGTAGTAGTAGTAATAATTAATCAGGGCCAGTCGATCTTATAGGGGACATAGGCGGCCGCCTAGGGCGCCAACTTCTTAGGGGACGCCGACTTGCCAGCCAATTTCCCTATGCCTGGGACGGAGGGCGCTGGCGCTGATGCTCGCCTAGGGCGCCTCATCGGCTAGGACCGTTACTGGTTGAAGTGAAGCCTGGGCTGAATCCACATAATATGACAATTATCATTAGTCTTTTCACAAAAGAAAGTCTGAAAATATTCTGAATTTGTTTTTTAAAGGAATAGAGCACAGCACCTGCGTAGTTCTGGCTGTGTTATTGGCTTCGGTTAACCATAACGAAACGGGAAGTTCGCACTTTTCAGTTTTACGGAATGTATTGCGAAGAATTTAAAAATAAAGTGCAACTGCTTCTACACGCTAATAACATGTAATAGATAAATGTAAAAAAAAATATTAAGACCCGTTATTTAAAAATAGCTACTGTATATTCTAAAGTCCAGTTATAGCTATGCGATTTTCTGGGGGTGAGTGGGACTGCCCAAATGTTTTTAGGTATTAATTTAGGCATTAGCTGGTACCGTTACATACGAAATTAGCGGTTTCCGTCACCACGTGAGTAGTCAAAGGAGTTCATCCTATAGAGCCCGAAATCTGCGTACCATCATTGCTGGAGCGCTAACTCGTCAAAGCGCAGCGCGGCGTATGATTGGATAATCGGCACGTCAATTGTCGGGTCGTTTTACCGTCGAATGTTCGGAAATGCGGCGATGTTTGCTGGCTAACGAACTGGAGCTGTGAAAGTGCTGCGGTAGGTACCTCTTCTCTTTTACGAGGCTTCGGTTTTGTTGACAGCCGATTATTGTGTCGACATGCGGCGTTTTAGACAGGACTAGCGAAAACACGGCAAGCCAGCAGCGTTTCTGCCGGTGCTGGCTTGTGAAATATGTGCGGCTGCTAGCCCGGTACGAGGCGACGCTGACAGCCTTAGTTGGCCCTTGGCGGGAGCAGCCAGATGCCGGTAGGATCACCGCTGGCGGTCCGCTGGGTGTCTGTGGTTTTTCCCCCGCAATGGGCAGTCAGAAAGCGGGCTTGGGCTGACGCTACTTCGGTTCCCAGGTTCGGATCCCCCGCCGCGGTACCGTGAAGGGTCTGACGTCCATGAATTCGCTGGTCGCGCAACGGGGTTTTTTTCTGTGTTAAATCGCGATTATCGTAGTTACATTAATTTGGACAAAATTGTTCCGATGCCAAGAGGTAAAGATGTGCGTCTTGCCGCTGATGTGGGAGCTGGCGGTGGAGCATCACACACCTGCGAGACGTGGGCGCCGTGGAGGTGTGAGGACCGCTTGTTAAACACCCAAAGCGGGACTTCGTAGCCTTGCATCCGCCGGCATTTCCAGCTCTCTCCCACCACGACCATAACTTTGCAGAAGTGCTTAGATCTGATGAAAACATCGCCCGTAAAAGTCACACAAAGCCGGTGTTCTGTCGAGTTGAGCTACTTTGTCGAGTTAGGCTACCGTAGTGCTAATCGATATCCCTAACCCTAACTCTAAGCCTAACCCCCCAGAAGCCCCTAAAACCCTAACCCCAATCATAAATCAAACCCCTAAAACCTAACCCTAATCCCCAAACGGTGGAACTGCACATGCGCAAAAAGGCTCGATAGTACATCTCGATAACAACTCGTCAGAACACCGGCGACCCCGGCCCCATAAGCCAAGTTCCGAGACTGTTAGGACTTTGGCCATTTCTTACTACGGAAGTAAGGGGATCACTGTTATGTATATAACAAAAAAGTAAGAGATGTCACCTTAATTTAATTAACCCTAAATCCCTAATGATTTTATTGTACTATTTTGAAAGATGCAGGTCAATTTACCTTAATTTAAGGTTTATTTTGATACTTATGTTAGGCGTGGGAAGAACAGGTCAAGGTCAGCACTAATTCTCAATCAGAGGTAGAAAGTTTGGGTCAAGAAAGTACAAATCCAGACCAAGTTTTCGTTTTAAGCAGCCAGTTGAGTACTCTGTGACTGTGACTCTATACTCAGCTGGTTGGTTGAAACTAAACCTTGGTCAGGATTTGTACTTTTTGGACTTGAACTTTCCACCTCAGCACTTGGTAATAAAAACCCTGCCAGTCAGGACAGGGTGCATATATGAGCCTCTGGGCGTAAAGCCGCTTTATCTGGCCTAGGTACCAGTGAGGAATGTACAGTCGTCATAGTTCAGTCACCTACCGGTAGTTTTTTCAAAAAAAGTAAATAATTTTTGTGCTAAATTATTATAGCGGCAGTTCCAGAAGCAGTGTACGGTAATTGATGTATTTTCAGAAACTGATGAATTTCAGCTTTTTAAATTGTATCTTATCGAGGTTTGAGAACTTGCTACTTGCTACGTAATTATGTTACGAACAGGCTCACGTTACATAATTATGAGTCTATGCACTAGAATCAATTAAATGCATATACCACTTATAAGCTACAACCTTCTTGGAAAGGTGGGGTACAGAAGTTCAGTGATTAAAATAGCCTAGTTATCCATGACACGCTTCTACTCTTATCAGTACTTTGGAGATTAAATTCTCTTTGGTTGGGGTTTTAGACCTTTCACCATATGACCAGACAGCCGCTAATGATTAGATTTGTTAATTAGTTCTCATATAGGTAGAATCCCAAGTCCTGCAGTCCTACATTTAGACAGCATATCCTGTTATGATGATATGATATGGTATGTTATGACTTCTGACTAAAAATAGTAATGGCCTCACGATGAACATAAAGGCGCTGAGCAGAAAGAGGAAGCAGATGTTGAAGAAATCTGGCTGCTGAAAATGCCCCCGCTTGTGTCTGCGAGACACCGTTTGAGACCCAGCAGGGGTCGGCTGTCCTGCACGTGGTCACCTCCAGGACGCCACTCGTCTTATCTTCAGCCACGACTCACGGCGCCTGTTTAGATGCTGTTCTGTTCAATCACTCGCCAGTATTGTTCATGTAGTTTACTCTTTTCCTCATATCTCAGCTTGTCGCCGGGGAAACAGACATATAGCAGCTAACGTTGTTTGTACAGTCAGAGTTTTCATTCATTTGCCTGTCAGCCATGGTAGCAGTTCACTCACGTGCTTCAAAAATGTATTTTTGGATGTGGGGTCTGGGGTCTATTATTAGTTTTTTCCATGTTTGGGAGACAGGTCACCTAAGCAGCGTTTCTGTGCTGAAATCGAACAGTTTGATTTTGTGGCTGACCGTGCAGTGTGGCGTTTGCGGCTCACGCTGATGCGTCCTGTTTGGAGACACTTTTCGGTATGCAGAGTGCAGTTTTTATCCACAAATAATTTGTGAGTGTTGCGTAGTTTTGTGCCTGTCAGATGTTGTTGTTTTATTGACTTTTGTAGCCTTTAAAAAATTCAAAAATGTTCTCTTTATTAAGAAAATATCTAAATGATGAATTATTTTATTTATGCCTAGAAGGAGTCAAGATTGACCTGGTGTCTGCAGCCAGACCAAATCTGTGTTGACTCTCTGCAGTATGTTTGCTTTCTTTTGTCATTTCTCAGTGAGTCATAATTGTGTGCCAACTGATGTCATCGCTCCAGCCATCGTGTATCAGCTGTGGCCTGTGAGCAAAAACGATCACAGCCATCATGGAGCCCCCCGTCGAAGTCGGATTTGGGTCGAACACGTCCCACAGCCTCTCCGTCTCCCCTCCTGCCATGTCCATCGAGAAGCTCTTCCCGGCACTGCTGGAATGCTTCGGGATCGTCCTGTGCGGATACGTGGCCGGCCGCGCCGACATCATCACATCGACGCAGGCCAAGGGGCTGGGCAACTTCGTGTCCAAGTTCGCCCTGCCTGCACTGCTGTACAAGAACATGGTGCTGTTGGACTTCGGCAACGTCATGTGGTCCTTCCTCTGGAGCATCCTCATCGCCAAAGTGTCGGTGTTCGTCATCGTGTGCGCGCTCACCCTAGTCGTCACCGGGCCCGAAAATCGCTTTGGCAAGGCCGGCCTTTTCTCCATCTTTGCCACGCAGAGCAATGACTTTGCGTTGGGCTACCCCATCGGTGAGTGTCTGACAAGCCGCCTCCTGGTACTTTCTGTGGAAAGTCTGCTAGAAGAAGTGATGCGAGACTCATGTAGCCGCGTCTGTTTGTGGCTGAAGGGGCAGTTTCTCAAAAATGCAGGTTATTTCCCAGAAAAGCAAATGGCTGTCTGTACTTTTCCTTTTATTCATCGTTAAACAATGAGTTTCATTTAGTACGAATCAACCTGAAAAGTCTTTCCCACTAACAGATTAAATTATTGTCGTGCAGAGAAATCTTCATGTCATGTATTTTGGCTTTTGTCTATATGTTTATATTATGTTTAAGTAATTTCTCCGTTATGGACCGACATATTTAATACACATTGCCCATTGACATTACTTTTCGCACTGTAATCTGATATTTAATATATTTAGATTTAAGATAGTTATTGATGCATTTCGTTTCGATTATGCGGGGATATATATATTTTTTTCCAAGTCATGCCTGTAAACAACAAATAACGAAAAATTCCACATGAGTGAAACAGCGCTGGCAGTATCACTGAGTGCTTAAGGGCATGTTTGTGCAGGTCTGGCCACATGTGTCATTACTTCATTTCCTGTTAAATCCTATATAGCCTTATGCTTATTTACTCAAGAATCATTGTAAATAAAGTGCATAGGTGAAATGTCCTGTCTTTGGTTTGTGGTTGCCATGCTTTAGAAACTGCTTTGTCACATTTCTTGTTTGATGATAGCCTGAAGCAGCCTGTCATTGACAATGTGTGCATTTACATCATAGAAGGTGGAAATGTTTTTCTTTCGATTAATGCCCGGTGCTTGTCTTGTGTCTCGCTCAGTGGAGGCCTTGTACAAGAACACACACCCAGAATATCTGCAGTACATTTACCTGGTGGCGCCGATCTCCCTCATGATCCTCAACCCTATTGGGTTCGCGTTCTGCGAGGTGCAGAACTGGCGGACCAGTCAGGAGCAGCATCAGCACAAGCTGCGCATCGTCGCCGTGGTGATCCTGCAGGTCCTGAAGAACCCCATTGTCTTCATGGTGATCGTCGGCCTGGCCTCTCACTTCCTGCTGGGCCAGAAGATCCCTACCATCATGCAGGAGTTCGTCGACGGCCTGGCTAACTCCTTCGGTGGTGCAGCACTGTTCTACCTCGGCCTCTCCATGGTGGGCCAGCTCGGGAAGTTCACTCGGTCCACGGTGGTGGCGCTGATACTCCTCATCACGGCCAAGCTGTGAGTATGCGGACAGGCATACTTAGCCTTGCTAGTCAGCGTCAGAATGTGATGGGACTGTGCAGTATCAGTGTAGGAGTGCTAACTTTTGTGCTGATGCTGATGTTCTCGCTTTAAAGTGCTCCTGTTCTACTGTGCAAATGTTTTGTTTGTAGAGTTTGAACCACACCCTGACTTTCCTTTCTTACTATTGTATGAATATCAAGTTGGAACAAACCATGAGAAATGTTCAGTATCTCAGAACCTTTTCTGCTTGCTGTGGTGCCCCTTTTGTTGCTCAGTGTGCTGCCCTTAATATCATTTCTGTGTATACTATATATATGTGCACACACCTTTTTAATTAGCTTCTTCTAAATATGGTCTTTGGTTGCAGTGCATGCTAGAGTGACTAATTACAGCAGTTATTATTTTTAATGTCTATATTGGCATAGCGACTCAGTGGGTAGCTTCTAATTCCTAATCGTTATGTCAGCTTGAGTTTTGTTTTCCTCCGTCCTAGTTAATCACGCAGACCTTATCATCCAACCCCTACACAGAGCCATTGTCTTTCCATAAGACGACACCGGTTTTGCATGCTTTTTTTCCCCCATGCGTTTCATTTTCCGTTGCCAATGAACTCTCTTCTTTTTCGTTCCTCTTTCTTGGTTTGTTAATCCCATATCCACTTTATATTCTCAAATGAAGTATCTTTCTTTTTTCTTTTTTCTTTTTTCCGTCTATTGTATCACGCGCTTTGCCATCCTACCCAGACAGGTTCTTACATTAACTTATCATTCGCTTCACATTGCCCAAGGCTCTGGTCAGGATAAGTGGTGGATGGATGGGTGGATGCATTAGTGGTTGCACTGGTGGATGCATGCTCCTCAGTGCAGTTTGGCATGCTAGTGGATAAACTATTTTGCTGCCCTGATTTTCTCAAATAGAAAACGTCTAATTGGCCCATTCATTGAGAGCACTGCAGTCTGCAGGTTTGGACATGAATGGAATTTTGCCACCATCAACCCATCAGGCAAGATGTCTTGCTGGTGCTCGTTTCTGGCTCCCTGACTGTCTGGTTAAGCAACTGTTATGTTAAATAGACAAATGTCATCAACTAAATGTTCTGGCTATAGAGAACTCAGGGGAAAAAAAGGCTTTACTTCCCCCTAAGGCATCCATTGAGATGACTATCATAACAGGTTTTTGGAAGAGTCACCTTCTAGATCATTTGCAGTGCATTTAACAGGCAGACATCAGTGCCCTACAGTAGTCAAGTTTCACGTTTTTATTGTCACGTGTTCCAAGGAGCACGGTGAAATTCTTGTGCGCCAGTGCAGGGAAGGGGATAGGTGCATTAGGAGGGACAGTAGAACAATAAACAGCAGTGCAGCAAGATGAGGCATTGCAACACAAAAGCTAGTGTGATATGGGGAGTGAAACAATAAATGTACAGAAAATGCAATAGATAGGTGGTGCTTTGGGGGAGGATGTAGAAAAAGCTACTGAGATAGACTATACTACTAAAGTATGGAGAAAGTGGAATATTGCCAGTAGTGTGCAATACAATACAATCCAGCAGGGACTGATGCAGGTCACTGGTATTTAGCAGCTTGATGGCTTGGGGATAGTAGCTGTTACTCAGATGGTTGGTGCCGGTGGTGATCAGTGCACTGGTAATGCTCTGCCGGGGGCAGTAGTGTGAAGAGGCCGTAAGCTGGGTAGGTGGTCTCCCTGATGTTGAACTTGACCCTATTCTGGCAGCATGAGAGAGGGAAGTTTTGCAGCTGATGGAGAATCTGTTCAGAAGATTTTGAGGCTGTTTGGAAAGTCTTTTGTAGCAGTTTGAAGTCCGGAGCTGTTTGCTATCCATCGGTTTCCTACCAAAGACTCTTTGCCCAGCCTGAGCTCCGACTGAAGACTTTTATTTTCAGGTTTTATTGGTCTGGCGAATTGTGACTTTTGAAGTGATGCTTTATTCCCCCGTCAGGCTGGTGATGCCGCTGATCTGCCGGGATATGGTGGAGCTGTTGGACACGGACAATGACAGTTCCCACAACCACTCCAGTCTCTCCAACTATGCATTCCTTTATGGCGTTTTCCCCTCCGCCCCAAGTGTGGCCATCTACGCTGCCCAGTACAATATGGAACTTGAAGTTGTGAGTCATGCAAAGTGGGCGAAAGCTAATGGCTCAGGGCTTTCTGACTTCCCGTTGCCTCTGTGGTGATGATATCATTTAGTTCCTTCTTCTCCTTTGTAGGTGACCTCAGGAATGGTGATCAGCACTTTTCTCTCCGCTCCTATTATGTATGTGTCTGCTTGGTTACTTACAATCCCGTGGATGGACCCAAAGCCTCTAGTGTCTGCTCTGCAGAACGTGAGCTTCAACATCAGCATCATCAGTTTAGTGGCTCTGGTGAGGGGTTCTCCATCGATACTCTGTTGATTACTCCCGTGATTTTTATTTTTTTTTCTTTTGCCGTGTGTCCCTCTGTCATTTCGTTCAGGAACTGATGGTTCCCCTGTTTGTGTCCCAGGTTTGGACCATCGCTGTCATGCTCCTCAGTAAGAAGTTCAAGAGATTCCCACACGTATTCACCATGAACCTTTTCTTGGCACAGGTAATAACCCTGACCTTCATTTTCCTATCAGTGATCTCTACCATAGACGTCTTACACATTCGCTACATTCTCTTTGAATATGTTCTCTTTTGAACTGGTAACTTCTGAAAGCCTTTGACTGCAAAACGACACCCTTTTCTGCTTTCCCAGTTTTTAGTTTGTATTGGTATGATCTTGTGGAACTTCATTGTGAAGCAAGACAACTTCATTGGGCAGGTTCTCACCTTCACTCTCTTGTATGGATCCCTCTACAGCACTTACATATGGGCAGGTACGGTTTTCGGTTGGCACTTCTAAATGGACGGCACCAGGTTGGACATATGAATAAAGCTCATTGTAATAAAAGTTTGAGCATTAATAGCTGACTTGACATGTGTGTCAATTCCAGCACTTATAGCTTTGGCTCTCTTTCTAATGAAGAAGGACAACGAACTGAAGGTTCCCGTGTGGATTTTCCCAATTGTGGGCTGGGGGTAGGTGTTCTGTGCTTTCTCCAGGTTCTGCTGGTCTTTGTGCGAGATGGCGTTTGCTAAGCGCTATGAATATTTCCAGAGTCCCAGCCCTGATTGTGGGAGTCCTTCTTATTGCTGGGGAGCGGATGCCTGACACCATCGACTCTGCCTTTTTCTACGGAAGATCTCAGGTGAGAGTTGCCATTATATGATTTAAGGTGCTTTGGCTTTTCTTGTGCAACTGTAATGCTATAAGTATATGTTTTAGAATTGTAGATGGTTTGAGGTACAGTCACCTAGTTGAGTGTCAGACTCGAGTTTCATTTGTTTTGCTCTGTGAAGTGATCTTTGTTTGAGCCAGAAGATCGTAGATTATTACTGCCCAGACATGATTACTGCTAATTACATGCTTAGCTAGGAGTTGGCTGGTATTTACAGTCAGAATTCCGGGTCCCACACCACAGCGTGTCATCCCATCCCTGTTACTCTGCTAGATCATCAGTACTGCTGTGGTTCAGTTCTGCGGTATTCTGCTGGGGGGCGGCTCTCTTATGGGCCTCAGCCGGGGCCCCCAGGATCCAAATTACCACGTCCTGGAGCAGGACTGCAGCTCAGGTGCCACGGATGATGCAGCAGCAGATCACTGTCCAGAAAATCAGGCCCCACAGGAAGCAGGACCCACAGAGGGCAGCATCACCAGAGGTACATCATTGGGTTTATTGCCTTGAAGACTGGTTAGAACACCAATGGTCTACATTTCCAAGTGATGTTGGAGCATTTGCTCCCACTACAGGGATTGAATATAAATACCAAAGGAAAAACAACAGGGACTCTCTGATTGGCCGTCTCTTTGTATGCGTCCCTGAATCCTGCTGCTCCCTTCCATACTAATCATGTATTTCAAGAGGCTGGTACTGAGACGTGTTACAGAGACTCATCCCAAACCATATGGACTCCCTTCAGTTTGCATAGACTGCAGGTTCTACAGGGGACCCTATATCACATGCACTCCACACCTCTCTAGAGGACTTGGGGGGGGAGGGAGCTCTTATGCAAAGCTACTATGCATATACTTCATCGAAGCAGCAATAACGTCCAGATTAATCCTGAAGTAACATCCAGACAAATTGCAAAGTAATGCTTTCAGACTAGTCACAGGACAGTGTGCTGGGCCCCATTCTGTACTCTCTTCACCCATGACTCTGTGGCCAGACACAGCTGTAACTCCATTGTTTGCAAACAACGCTCCATTTTAGGGCTTGAGATAATTTCCTTGAAGGCCAAGTCTCTGGTGTGGTGCCAGGAAAACAGGGAGGGAGGAAAGATGTGGACTCCCTACGAGTCCCCGAAGACTGGGCTGAGAAATGCTGCGCTCTGGTGCTTGTGAAGTCTTGACATAGCAGCGGCTCGACACACGGCCACGGCATACTGAGTAGGGGATGAAGGCCTCTGAGAGCATTACTGACACACACCCCAAAGAACGGCACCCGTCATTCTGCACTGCCACTCCGTTCCCCCCTGTGGTCTGGCAGATGGTATAGGCCATAAGCACTTGGACCACAGAACTGTGCAACCCACAGGCAATTAGGGTTTGCAGTGAAGGCAAACTGCAAACCAGATCCTGCTAAAGCTGACACACCGACACCTTAATCCCATGGTCCTCCTTCCAGTGTTTTACGTGTGTAAGATATGTGTGTTTGTCTATGCTGTTTGATTTTTATTTACATTGTATTTGGCACTATGATCTATAAACAAGTAAAAATGTATTGTACTAGTCACACGTCAATAGAAAACCTTGAACTTTTGAAAATGTATTCCACATGTTCAAAGCTGATAATTAGACGTGGGGCCATCTTATCTTGCGGGGATGTCACGGTAAATTTTCCGTTGGCCTCTTGCAGCCATGCGGTTATCGTGCGACGTCTGGCCTTCTGCGTTTGTGTAACACGTGTCTTTTGTGTTCTGTCAGAGTGCCACATGTGTGAGTGTGTTCAGCCACAGCCAATGCCTGACATGATTGTCAGCACCAACATGAGTGACACTCCATCTGTACAGCCAGGTACTCTCTGCTCTTCCGTCTCGGTTGCTTGGCTTCTTCTAGAGCATCGCTTATCTGTTTGTACAGTTGCATGATTTTCTGGGTGAGCCCTGCATCGAGGGCTTATGAACCGAGCCACCCGGCTACCCTCCCTGTTTTGACGCAAACCGCGATTGCCGTTGTGTGTACTCAGCTGTGCCTCAGCGTGACCTGGCTCTTGCAGCTGAATTTGGATTTCCATTTAATGCCCTTTCAAAACGTGCTTGTTTACCTCTAACACATCTGTTGTTTTTTGTCAAGCTATTGCCTATTTTTTTTTTTCTTCTCATGGTTGTCAATCTTTCCTATAACATTTTGTAGATTTCCTTCCATTTCTAGGTGCACCATGGTGTTCCAGCTGTTCTCTGTCCCTAACTAGCAGTTTTTAGCTCCGCTTAAAGTGGCTTTTCTTTTGGTGTGAATTGTACGATTCAGACTATTCAAGAACCTTTTATTTGTGACTTTAAGCACATTGTTAAATAGTCATTGATATATTAACGGTGCCAAATCACTTTCACAGCTGATAAAATTCTTTATGCAGGCAAGGGTTCATTTGTTTAAATTGTCATTGTAGCTTTGGTATTGTACTTTTTATACCAAATGTGAGAGATTAAGTGCATCTTATAAATAAATTGTCTGGGTTGGGTGGCACATACTTTTTTTTTGTACCTACAGTGTATATAAAAAGTGCACGCACCCCTGTTTAAAATGGTGTTTGTGACATAGACCACGATAAATCATTTCATTGCCACCTTCAATGTGAGCTATAACGTTTTTGATATTTTACCCCCAGATTTGTTTGTTTTTCTATTGAATCGTGCAGTTTGTAGGTCACATTAAAGGTGGGAACACTTTTTAATTGCTTTATCGTGGTCTCTCTTACATCACACAAACCCTGCCATTTTAACAGGGGTGTGTACACTTTTTATATCCACTGTATAATTACTTGCAATTGGCATGCTTATATGATCAGGATAGAAGCAATAGGATTACATTTGTGGATCATCCAGGACTGCAAGTGTTTGTCTATGTGGTCTTGTTTCATGTTTTTCAGTTCCTCAGTTACAAATGGGTTCGCTTATCCAGCTGGATTCCAGTTTCAGCCTTTCTGAATTGAACTGAAGCTTGTAATGTAATATAATATTACTTCAGTCAAAATTGTTCTCCCCCTGCTCCTGTCTTATGTCAGGGCAGGCCATTAATAAATTAAGAAATATGAATCTGAAGGAAATTTCATACAAAAGGAAAGCTGATGCTATTTTGTGTGCGTGCGTGTGTGCGCATAGATCACATTTGAGGACCAAATTGTCCCCAAAGTGTACTGAAACCTGAAATTTTCCTACTTTTAGGTCCCCATTTGGATAACCTCAGTTTTATAAACATCTATGAATGCAATCAAAAAAGTAAAAATGCCAAAAGTCTTGTATCTGGGTTGGTTAAGGTTAGGGATGGGTAGAGGTTAAGGGTGTCGTGATTGGGATTAGGGTTTTTCCCATAGAAATTAATTTTATTTTTATTTTTTTCACAAAAAACTTTAGGAACAATACTCTAATACTGCCACTTTTTCTTTTTTACATGCTTGTCAAGCCTTACTTTGAATGCATTTCATGGTGACGAGCCCGTGCCCCCCCCCCCCCCAGATCAATGTGACGCCGTGCAGTGCGAGCCTGCGACCTGCCTGCTAGCTCAGGAGGAGGTCCGCCTCCAGCAGCAGTGCGACCCCCAGGCTGCCCGCCACGTGCTCCTCTGCCTGCTGCTCGTCGTCAGCCTGCTGGCAGTGAGTCACATCCCGCCGCCCTCCTTTCCGGAATGTCCACTTCCCGTCGCCCAGCCTGCCCGCCGCTCGGTGATGGCTGGCACCTTGCCGGGCCATTTGAAGGTCACTTTTCCTTCCTGTGACACAGTCGCTCCCTTGGAGACCTCAAAGACGCCGTCAATCGCTCCAGTTCATCATTTAAAGCCGCATTCTGGCAATGAGCTCAAGTAACAATTTTTGCAGTGACATGATGATTTGACATGATGCTGTTTCTTTTATGTAGGCTGAGATTATCTCCTGTTTTATAGGACAACTGCAGTTTCTATTTGTGTTTTACTCAGTGTCAGTGCTGCGTCAGCCTTGCCGTAGCTTAACTTCCCCTGTCGTGTTTCAGAATCTGTCCAGCTGTCTGTGGTGGCTATTTAACCGCGTTCCTGGTCGACTGTATCTGGAGCTGCAGTTCTTCTGTGCTATTGCCAATTACGGGCAGGTAAACACCTTTAATATCAGTGTATATTGGGGTTTTCATGCATATTCCAGGTCTTTTTAAAGTTTACCAAAATACTCAAATTGATTTTCTTTTCTTTTTTTTTTTTTATTACTTTAAGGGCTTTATTTCATTTGGTATTTTTGGGCTGGACAAGCATTTAATCATCCTACCATTCAAAAAGAGGTAAACGCCTGATCTCGTCTGTGGGTCATTTATCATGAAAAGCATAAAAAAAATTGTGGCGGGGGGTTGAGAGTATGATCGTGGCGCTGAGTAAGAATGTAGATGCAGCTGCTGAGTATATTAGCACCGCTGCTGTTTAGCGCTGTTAGCCTTGTTTGCGTCTCTGGCTGCAGCGAAGCGTAAACACGCAGGCCCAGCGCCCCTCCCACTCTCTGTCCCCACTGCGTGCAGGCTCAGCTGCCTGTGGCCGGGCAGGGGGAGGGCGGAAGACGTCCAGGCTCCGGTAACTGAGGAGGTCAGGCTGACCTGCCTGCAGTTTGTCAGGTACCACAAGGACCAGTGTGCCCAGGACATTGTGCAGAAGCGGAGGTAAGTAGAAGTCTGTGGTTTTAATGACCGTGTTTGGTGGTTCCTCGCCAGTGTGGACTAGGACGTATTTAACCAGAGCTGATCTTTGTACAAATGCTGGCATTTCCAAGGTGTGCAATAACAGGCCCAGGAGCATAACTATATACTGAAGAAGTAATACATGTTTAAACTCAGTGTATTGAAGTTGCAAATGGAAGTGTTTATTCAAATAACTGGAAACATGGCTTCTCACTCATTCTGTAAACTTAATAATCACAGCTGATTAAGGTAAAGAGGACAAAAGGAAAAGTGAAAGGACTGAATTCTGCGACTGAAGTTTGTGTTCTGATCAGGAGCAGAGATTTTTACATTATATAATATATGTAAACATATACTAATAAGTACTTCCTCTGGGTTTATCCCCTTCATTTTACCTCATTTCTTTCCTTTTATTGAAATATTTCCCTGTCCATGAGCATATCAAATTTTAATAAAGGAAAAAAGATTTGTTTCCTCAATTTTGGGTGCATGAGTACGAAAATGGTCAGTTTCATTAATGCATTTGCCTGTTTGTTCCGAATCTTTTGGACTATAATCAGAATGAAATACTTTTTCCTCTAAATCTTGGTTGCTCCCTCTTTCTTGATCAAAGAATGGAAAATATGGCTCATTGCTCAATTTAATGAATTTACTTACCCACGGCTTTGTGTCCTGTAGCCATGAATCTATGGTTATTCCATTTTTTAGAATGTCTTCTATTAAAATCGTATCAGAATAGATCTGGATATTCTAGATCCAGCAATTGTCTTTTAATGTACCTTGCCTGCCTTCATCTATTTAATATATAAACTGTTTCAAGCATGTTTCTATGATGAGGTGCATGATGAAATTGAAGTCAAACCCACATCATGCATATTAGCTTTAAAGTTCAGCGAACATTATGACACAAGCGGCATCGACTGCACAGGTAGACGATGCGGTTTTGCGTCATCATCATGATTTTGTTTACCTCCTATAGCATTTATAGCTTCTTAAGCAACTCGTATTGCCTCTTATACCTCTTCCTCCTCCTCCTTGTGTTCCTCTCTGCCCTCCCTTCTCTCTCTCCTCTTCCTAGCCATTCTGGTGAGGGCCTAACAGGTGCAGTGGGTGAATCCTTCCTTTGATACACAGGTGTGGAGAGAGGACCATGGTCGCCACCTTTCTGGGCAGCGACCTGGTGGAGTGGTTGCTGAGGGCGGGCGTGGCGAGGGACCGGGGCGAGGGGCTGCGCTACGGGAGCCAGCTGCAGCAGGGAGGGGTCCTCCAAGCCGTCACCCCAGAGGTCGGCTTCCTGGATGGCGCCCGGCATTACCGCTTCACAGAGGACTGCAGGCTGGAGAGACAAGGAGCCACGCGTGATGCCTGCATTGAGACTTGGGATTAGCGTATTGCAGAAAGGACCATTGGTTTGGTAGCCACCACGCTCAGAACATACCAATTAGACTCTAGATCACATTTGTTGCACGGCCTTTATAATTCGACGCAAGAGCAACGAAATGTTTGCACTAACAGTGTTATTGCTGCACCATAGACTGGCATGTAATTTACGGGACAGATACAAATATCCGCTACAGGTAGCATCAGGTTGCTGGATGGACGGCAACAAGATCAGTGTACTTGTGCCAAGGTGTGACACAGCTGGAATGAGTTTACAATTGAAGATCTCATCAGAACCATGACCGTCAAACATGTAGAAACTGAAGCATTTATAAACATGACATTTTGCCAGAAGGCACTAGGGGGCGCTTCTCTGAATGGCCGGACTTATGAGCTCTCCCACCTACAGCAGTAGCTCTCTACTGCACTCTGTATTTTAGGGGGCCTGTACTGGACAGCTTGTAAATCTGTTCACCACGGGCTCGAGTGGTGTCAGTGTTGACCTGGACATCCCGTGACTCCCACCGGCGATTCATGCGGTGATGCTGCAGCAGAATCACCCTTTTGTCCTTTGGGGATGGGGAGAATCAGTCACAACCTTTATCAAATTAAATTAATAAAAGTCTCCTCCATTTTTCTGTTATAGTAAATTTCGGAATTTGACGACAGAACAATTTAGTTCATTTCTTTAAATGTTCATTTCCGTTATTGATTAGCCCCTCTCCTGTGTTTATGCTGGAGACTTTTTTTCCCCCCAGAAACAGGAGGTGTGTGTGTTTGGGGGGGGGGGTTGAAACATGTGATCCCACTATTTCACGCTCAGGAAGTCAAACACGCTGCCTCTTGCAAGAGACAACTTTATTTCAGGTTCTATGCTCTTCAGTTTTGTAAAGGGTTAATAAATGTTGCAATATCACAAGTTCAACAATGGGAATTGTTACAGCACCTGCACCAGGACTGTTCTGGATTCAAAGGGTAATCCTGAGTTTCAGCAGGGAGTCCACCTGCCTTGCATATACACTGGGACTTGCCAAAGATGACCTCTTATGGCAGCTTGCCTTGTGTAACTGCACTGACAATTACACTTTACTCTCAATGACTGACAAACTGTAAATGCAGATATTTATCTCTTTTAAGGTGTCCGTTTTAATATTTAACAGCTGTGTACACTGAAATACTCGGGATAGTATTTTGAGTAAATCTTCCCTACTTAGGCGGGAAGGCTTGCGCTGTGTTGATAGTGTTACCCCCAGGCTATGTGGGATGTGCTCTGTGTCATTTCACCATGTTCTTTATCATGTACAGACTTAAAAAAAAATAAAAATGAGGCATCTATGATAAAATACAGCTTGGCTGTTGCATACAACTGTAAATTAATTCACAACAACATTAGTTTGCAAGTCTAAATTGTACTACAACCTTAAGTCCAGTCTTTACTAATACATGGCACTCAAATGCACTGTAAACTGGTGGAGAGACAAAAATTTTAACAAAAATATTCTAAAGTTAAGATCACATCAGGTTTTTCTATGAAAACATAACATGCTCCTTATACACCCCTGCAAAAAATATGCAGTAAAATGACAGCAGAGCCACCAGCTGTTTCAATGCTTTTATTAAAACAGAGTAACACATCTGAAAATCATCCATGATCAATACACTAACCTTTCACTGTCTGTATTAAATCTTATAAAAGACAGATTCACCTCTTAGAATACATTGTTTACAATGCATTTCAGATGAGTAACTTTTGGGTGGTGACATTACAATAAATTGTCTACACATTTATGTGCAATCGTGTGTTAAAACCCTTTTGCTAATCTTTTCTCACTTTGTTCATATCATAATCATATGAATACACCATATAAATATCTTTATTCATGCACATCACCCATCCATCCTTTAATTGCACGATGATAAAATGATCCTGAGAATAACTGAATTGGTTACTTGTAAATATCTGAACATTAAGGAACCAATTTAATATCCATCCATCTTCCATACTGCTTATGCAGCACAGGCTCACAGTAACTTATCAAATATGAATCACATTTAAACTTTTCAAATTTGATTATTTTTCATTCAGCACTTGCTATATACCTCAAGCTCTTGCTGACAGGTATCAGAAAACACATGTACTACTAATGTTGAGTCCCCAACACCACTAGTCAGATACTGCTCCATTTCACCCATCTTCTCCTTTTCCAGCTCCCTCATGTTCTGAATGATCTTTGTTCCTCTGTCCTGAAGGAGGTCAAACATATTTGCAAATATCTCCCAAATATTCTACAGTAGTTTCCTTATAACCATAAATAAAAAATCAAATTTGCAAATGTCATTCTGGGTTAAGTTACTTTTAAAAAAAATCTGCCAAAGTTATGGCTGATTATACACATCAAAAATATATTGATTCACATCCTTC